TGTGGCACCGCCTGAGGGCCTGAACGGCCGCAAGACGCCCTAAGGGCGGCTTCCGGGACGAGGGTCCTCCGCCCACCCCCCTTTCCTCAGGGGTATGACCTACGGGAGCACCGAGGGGAGTGAGGGGTCCCGGGGACGGAGTCTGAGGGACCCTGAGGGGGAGCTGAGGCCTTCGGGCGAGAACGTGGGGCTTGGGCGTTCCCAAAGGCCCCGGGGGGAGTGCCAGGCCCCGCGGGCTGTGTGACTGGGCGGGGGTCCCGTGTTCCCGGGGAAGCCCTGGGCAGGGGGCTGTGGGGCAGCAGTCCCGGCACTAAGACTCTCCGGGTGCCTGCAGGTGTGAAGGAGGACTCATTCAACGTGCTGGACCTGGCGGAGTACACCAAGAACCGGCCCTGGTGGCGCAAGGTCTTTGCCCCCAGCTCAGGCTCCAGCGCCGAGAAATACAATGTGGCCACGCAGCTGGTGATCGGAGGGGTCACGGGATGGTAAGATGTGCTGGGGTTGCCGTTGCTGCTCGTGGTAGGCAGGATGCCTGTGGGCACTCGCCGGGCTTTTGGTAACACGCTGACAGGTGTAGGGTGGTCATCTGGCAGTCCTTCAGAGAAGGCAGGTGCTCAGCTTGCTCAGCCAACTGTGCGCTGTCACGCTCTGCTGAACAGCGGGAGGTCTTCAAAGCTGTCTCTACTGGGGAGCTGAAGCGCTGCCACTATCTCCTAGGGAAGAAAATGGCATCAGGCTTTAATTTTTGAAGTGAGATAATTCTGTTTAACTTCTAGCATAAAGTGGTGGTGGTGAGTTTAGGACAGGCAATTAGGAGCCTCTTGGAACAAGGATACCTTCTTCCCTGGGGGTGGATGTGCTTCAGGCATCTGCACAAAAACCTCCTGTGGAGGTGGCTGATTGCATCTGTGGGCATGGTTCCTGGGGTTTCCTGTCACTTGTAGCAAGTGCTGGGGCTGGTGGCTTGTGGCTCTGTTTGCAGCTTCATTCCCACAGCGGCGTTGCTTGAGTTGAAAACTTGGTCTAGTCACACTGCTTTGCTTCTTGCCATGCCTGTCGTCTTTGTCTGGCATAGGGGTAATCATTTAAAAGTGTATGATAGATCTTAATTTTCTGATAAAAATATGAGCTGGGCACCTCTCTCTCGTGTCCTCACTAAATGTATGTATTCAGAAATGGGTAAGAGGAGGTCACTGTGTTGTTTTGCAACGTTGATAAGGAAATTGACATCAAAGTGAAGTCAGTTCTGGGTGATATAATACACTAGCCCTTTGCTGCATGACTGAGCAACGGGGTGGTGCTTTCTTGAGTTCTGGTGGCTGCAGCAATGTCTTTCATATTGAAAGCATGTAACACAGTTCAGAGTCCAGTATAGCTTTAGACCACTGCTGTCTGCTTGTTTCAGAATTTTTCTCTTCTGAGAAACGAAACGGAAAAGTAAGCAGGTGTTTGGGCAGCAAAGCAGCTTGCCTTGTGATCTGCTCCCGATGCTCTATCATGGAGCAGCAGCAGATGTGCTGCCTAATTTCCCTTCAGAGATTATACCAGTTAAAAAAAAAAAAAAGAAGCTAAAATCACTTGTTGATTTTGGTGAAATCATGTGTTTCCGATTACTCTTCTGGGGGAAGTTGACGTTTAAGAGATAAGAATCAAAACTGCAAAAGGCTGAAATGCAATAGTGAGAAGTAAAAAGCTATAAAGCATCACTTCTGGCTGGGGGCAAATCCTTTCTCTGTCTCTCTGGTTGCACGTGGGTTTCTTCTGTCATTTGTCATGCTGTCTCTGAGCCTTGGGTAATTACTGCCAAAGGCAGCCTTGCCTGTGGGAAGCATGCTGAGAGGGGGGTGTTTGGTGTCTCGTTCTCCTGACTGGATCCTGGTTGATTTGTAGGTGTACTGGATTCATCTTCCAGAAAGTTGGAAAGCTGGCAGCGACAGCAGTGGGAGGTGGCTTTTTCCTACTTCAGGTGTGTATGAACAGTGGACCAGGCTTTCTGAGAACTGTGCTGGTGGGGACGAAGGGCTGTGTAGTGATCATTACATGTTGGGACGTGTGGGGCCAGTTCCTGGATCTGCCAGGAGCTCTGTGTGGCTGTAGATGTCAGGGGCATGTGTTCCCCGGGATGCATGGATATGGCAGCATAGCAGGATCGGTGCATGTAAACCTAAGGATTGCCAGAAGGTGCTACCCGCTTAAGGTCTGCTGACAAAGGCACGTGGGGGCTGTTACTGCAGGGGCACCTGAGGTAGCCTTCAGCTGGTTAGAGGTGGCTACTGTACTTAGACCTGTGCCTGTGGAGATGGTGTTCCTGGAGGAACAGCCCTGGATGTCAGGAGGGATTTGTTCCATGTCTATGATATGCTTCCTGTCAACTTGGCTACCTGAGGAGTCAGGCCTCTCTGTCCTCAACCGTCTCTCCTGGTTTCCAAGAACACTGGCACTGACGGAAGCTGCTTGGGTGTGGACATCCAGCTTGTACAGGAGGCCTGCAAGAGGCAGAACAGCTCTGAGGCCTCACTCAGCAGTCTTACTTGTTTGCTTCTCAGGCGCTGTCTGCGTGTGACTCGTTCTCCCCGCTCTTCTGGCTCTGCTTGTTCTGCTGAAAGCCCAAAAGCTTGCTCTGAGCCGGGAGAGTTTCACTGATGAATCATCCTGACCAGATAAAATATTTAGAGAGGAACAGGCTATTAATAGCTGTGTCCACTCACAGCAGCAGGAGAGCTGCAGAGAGTCCCAACAACATATGTGGCAGTTGCGAGGGGGAGGTGATGCCAGCTTTACATTAGCAAATAGAGGCTGAAACAGGCTAAGCTGCAATGTGTGCCCTGCTGTTAGGGGGTTACTATGGAAGACAGATGTTGCAGGACAGCTAATAGAGCTACAGGGGTGCTCCTTTGTCCAATTTTTAAGCTAGTATGCGCATCCTCTCAGCCCGCTGGAGCAGTGTGTGGGCTGTGGTCAGGGAAGGTGGGTGGGCAAGGGGGTCTGTTTAGCCACGGTCACTCAGGACTTAACTCCAGGAACTTTCTTTCCACCCCTCAAAACTCTAGATTGCAAACCACACGGGATACATCAAAGTGGACTGGAAGCTAGTAGAACGGGACGTGAACAAAGCCAAGCAGCAGCTGAAATTTCACAGCAGTGGTAACAAAGTGTCTCCAGAAGTGAAAAGCAAAGTGGATGAGGTGAGACAACTCTCCCAGGGCTTGTGCAGGTGCTTAGCTGGAGGGGCAGCAGAAAACAGGATTGACTCTTGGGCTCTTACGGATCTTTCATTTCAAGGAGGGAATGCTTGCATGACAGCAAAACTGGAGAGATGTCAAAGCTATCTATGCATATTTGAGACAGCCAGGGTGGCTCCCAGGCATGACACCAGCTCACCATGTGTTGCTGCAAATTTCTTGGGGTTGGGAGAAAATGTGCTGGGGTTGTGGGGAGAAGTGTTTCTTCAGTCTGACAAGAAAAGCTGAGCAGATCTGGCCTAGTTACCCTGGGCTCTGCTGTAACCTGGTCTGGCACGCACAGTCAGCAGCCCCTTCTGTCAGACTGACTGTGCTGATTGTGAGAGAGCCCTGGAGCATGTAGGCTTGGACTGCAGCTCTTGGAGCATCCAGGTTGTGCTGGGTCAGTTCAGGAGCTGTACATGCGGCAGGGAGATCAGGGAGGGGAGGTCATTAGGTGGGATACTTTCCCAGACCTGAGCAGTGGCCTCTCTCTGAGCATCACTCATCTTGGAGAACAGCTTGAGGGATGTCTTCTTATGGGGAGGGCGGGTAGGTGACCTGCTGTTGTTGAACACTGTTGGCTCTTCTCTCCCCTGCTTAGGTGATCATATTTCTGAAGAAGAATGTTATCCTGACTGGAGGATTTGCAGGAGGATTCCTGCTCGGAATGGCATCCTAGAAACTGCGCTCGACACTCCCTTCATGCCCAGCCTCCCCTGCCCTCCTCTAGTGCTCTTCTCTCTCACTTAGAAGTCAAAGGAAGTTGCTGACAGGCTCAGTCCCTTCTGCTCACAGGTTCCAGCCCTTATTTCTTACAACACTGCTTCTGATTTCCAAAGTTTTCCACTGTCTGGGCTTTTAGGATGCTGGGATCGATATGAAAACTTACGACTCCTGGTGATTCATTGTGGTTTTTTTTTCCCCCCACCAAATATGCCCAGTCCCAAATTTTCTGATGAGTTGCAGCCTCCTAAACGTGTAGTCGCAGGGAAATCTCTTAAATGCGCTTCTTCCCAGGTGCTCAGGCTGTTACACATACGTTTGTCTGCCGGTATACGTGTACAACAGCTGTCAGCTGTTCACTGCTATTTAGCTTGCACTTTTTCTGCCCCGGTACCTGGAAAGCCTGTGCTTCTCTCTGTACAGAGATGGTGTGTGCAATCCAAAATGTGCTTGGCTGTCCTGGGGTGGATGCAGAAGTGTCAGGGGACAGCCTGGGCTGTGTCCAGGGCAGGTGGATAAGGAGCAAGGTCATGCTATATGTGGTGCTGGGGGTTCTCCTGCCCTCTCCCTGCCATTGCACTGCACGTAGATGGCGGTTTGGCTTCTCCTCTGCTGTTATTTATACCCCTTACTGGAATTGCAGCACTGGCACTGCTGATTGAAACTGAGCACTGTGGGTGACTCTCCAGGCCTTTTCCTCATCACGTGTTCTGAAAGTCACCAAGCTTCCTGCACTGTAGAGCGCCTTTCTCGCTTGCTAGCTGACTGCTCAGCCTTTGAAATGTGCTGAGGTGCTCTCTTGTGGTAGGGCAGGCTTCCAGCATGCTTGGCCTGTCTGTATCAGGCTAGCTGGCACAGGCAATGTGCATTTCAGCCATGCCGCTTACTGTAAATCACCTTGGGCCTCAGACTCATGTCTACCATGATGTTCTCTGGCCACTTTGGCATTGGTGATGCTCTTAGAGCTGTAGCCACGTCAGACAGGAAGTGCATCCCTGTTTAGGGTACATTGTACTAGTCCAGGGTCCCTGGTGCCAGCTCTGCTGGAGTGGTGGCAGGGGAGGATGTGAAATCTGGAGTGCAGTCCTTTACCTGCCTCTGCAGAGCATAAACTCCATCTCCCTGGTCTCTGCAAGCAACTGAAATGACAAAACTGTTGGGAAAACCAGGTTGTGCTCCCGTGGGAGAGGTTCATTTCCATACTTTCTGCCTTGGTTATGTTCCTTCCTTCTTTGCATTTACCATTGCCGCAAAAAAAAGCTGCAGCCCTTCTGCAGGTGATGAGGCAGCCCAGATGCAGAGCTCAGCTGTTTGGACAGTCTGTCCCAATGCAGCTGTGTGCAGAGCAGAACTCTAACCTAGAAGAGAAAATTACTAAAAAAAACCCCAAATCCCTTAGAGGTGTTCTGCGTTGGCTGGGCTGGGCTGGCATTACCACTTTCCAGAGTGCGGGGACTTGCATCACGGTGGGGTGATGTCCTCCAGCAGGTACATGTAGATGTTCTTGCCAAGAATGGATTTTTTTATGTGAAAGGCAGCCCATCCTTCAGTGGGATACATACCAGGTAATGATGATGCACGTGGGTGATTGGGACGCAGCACCTGCCCCAGTGGCAGCACCCCATCTCCAGTGCTGTGTAATGTCTTTCAGATCATCTCTGCTGTTCTCAGTCTGGCTGGAAATGGGGATCTTCCCCCAAGAGCTGCTGGGAGAGCTGGAATGATAGGTTCTTCCACCAGAGGTTTTGGAATGAGCACTTGCAGCTGTTAATTTTGTTTCAGTTCTGTTGATTGTCAGTGTGGCAACACATTGATTTAGCTGAGGCTTTCTCGCCTTCGGGATCTGAAAAGAGGCTGCAGGCAATCAGGAAACAGAAGTCGGTATATTTGCTTCTATTCTGCCATACATGGCCAAGGAGAATGAAGGAGCAGTGGGCCTCACTGCCTTTTAACGATGGTCTTCCTAAATGCCATGCAGGACAGAAGTGATGTGATGCAGGGAATAGGTCTTCAGTAAACTGGTATTTGGGAGTGGAGTGACAGATGATGGTGGTGGTTTTGGGGTTGTGGGTTGTTTTTTTTTTTTTGTAGGAACCCTGCAGGGCTGAACGTGCATGAATTGATACGTTTGTATTGCAGGGTATCTCTTGTTCCTGTAGGAAAACAGCGTTGCTGCCTCTCTGCCTGGTGTGCTGTATAACACAACTTCTTCTGGGATGCACTAATCTCCACAAAGCTTTCTCCAATGACGAAGCTCTATGTAAATCATTAACAGACCATAGGGATGTTTTCCAGGCTCAAATAAGTCACGGTTTCTGCCCAGCCCCGGGGAAGGGTGTACTGGGTTCTGCTCCACAGCGTCCCGACTTGCTGCTATGGAGAGAAAAGGCCCAGAGAGGGAGCTAAAACGCCTCAATTGCTGCTGGAAGGGGAAACAAGTGACAAATTCATGTTGAGTTTGATGTGAATGCAGGCAGGGAATGGACAAGGACATCAGGATCTGGCAAATCTTTCTGCTGTGCCAGTGTCGGGCTTGTGGCTGGCACCAGTTGATGCTGTGGGCTCACACTGGAAGCTTTGATACTGAGTCAGCTTCTGTGGGGATGCGTTTTCATTGTTGCAGGTGCCAAGATGAGGTGTTTCGTCTCCCCACCCCCCCCACCCCGCTCTTTTTGGTCTTGTTTCAACAACCTCTGGCGCCTGTTCCAGTATGAGAAGGTTTAAAACACACTAGGCTTTTAAAGTGTTTTTATATATTGTATGTAAATGCTTGTTGAAGTGATATTTTATTAAACGGTTTTGCTCTAATAGCTTCTATGTGTGAGGTCTGTTGACTTCTTGGGAACCAGAGTGGTTTTGTCTTACCATGCGCGTTGCGTTTGACTCAGGGGAGCAGTTACAGCCAGTCCCGTAGCGCGAGACCAGCAGCCTTCCCTCTTCTCTGCAGGTAACCGTGGGCTGCCTTAATAAATCCTTCTCCTTGATGATCCTGGTACCAATCATCCGTGTTCCCAAAAGGTGGGATCCTTCTGGAGCAGGAGGTGATTCTGCTGCCAGCCTGGCTTCAGAGCCTCCCTGCTGAGCAGGTTTGCTCCACTGGAGTAGAAACGGGCATGGAGACGAGGCTTTTTAATAGGCGCAACAGTAGCCTCAATATTTATATTTTGTCATCGTCTAGTGACTTTCTTTCCACTGCTCCTGCTCAGATAGGGCGAAAGGGAAAAATGAGCTACTTGTCAAGTTTTTGAGCTGCTTCACAACATCGTCACCACTTTCCCCTACTTTTCAGGAATACTAAACCCCCTATTTTGTCTCAAGAGTTTTTTTCAGGGGGGCGGGAGGGGAAGGCTAGCCCTGAATTATTCTCGTCTTGAGCCCCGGTTATAAAAATATCAAGCAGCTTCTATTTAAACATCATGATATCACATGTAGCTCTGGACCGTGAATGGCAGCCAAGCTGCCCGTCTTGCAGCTATGTTGTATTCTCAATAAACAACCAAACCGAGACTACAATTTGTTCCAGTCATTTATTTTGTATCATGGTATTTCAGAGCAGTGAATACAGATGGTTTGCTCTTCTAGGCTTCAATACACTCAACTATTGTGCCTAGACTACAGTGGTCTGTTTATAGAAGCTGTATTTCATAAGTAAGTTGTACTTGATCACAGCACAAAAGTCCTTTACGGCTAGATCTAATGACGGAGTTAGGGGCCTAGTGGGTTTGAAGTCTGGTATTTAGGTGCCTAGGCCCTGTAATGGACTTGGCACCCACTGAGGTGCCTGGACTCCTGCTACAGGGGATGGAGAGACTTAGGCAGCTCTGAAGGGTGATGCAGGAACCTGTCTACCGAGCTCTTCCTACAGGTCACAGGAAATTCTGCTGCACGCGTGAGAACTTCTGAAAAGCCATCTCCTCCTGGGGTCCAGACACAGCCGGGTTGTGAGTGAGTCTGAAATACTGTGTTGAAAGCAAGTACCTACAACTGCTTGTTCTGTAAGCAGCACCTAAATCAGTTCTTGGATCTAGCCCAGGGCTTTGTGACAGGCCTCTGGGTGCCAGCGGGTTGAATTACGCTGGGTTCGTAACATATTGCTTAAAGGTGTTCAATTATACATAAATTTATAAATTTTATATCAACAGTCAGATCTCTCAAATGAATATTGCTTTTTTAAAAAAAATCCTATTCCTGTAGCAATCCCTGAAATAATGTTCCTGTAACATCTTTGTCATGCAAATAGCAGCGTGTAGGCAATTCAAATATAAAGTAACCAAAAGTCTGTCCAGTGGGAAAGTGAGGCACTTAGGCAAAGTGACTTGTAGTCACTCGTGATCTATGCAAGACCTAGGAACAATCCCCAGACCTGATTCCCATTCTTGAGCTTGAACCACTGGACAGGCAAATGTTGTCTGGAACTACTGCATGATGGCAGCAATACCTTTGCTGTGTCAAAATGGGCTTGTTTCATATGTCACGCTTAAACTCACTCACTCTTCTGAGCTCATTTCCTGTACCTCCCGCTCCATATGCCAGAATAACTTGGTTCCAGTTCTCTGTTTTGAGCGCAAGGATGGATTAGAGTAAGGTAAGCATTCTAAAAACATCAAGTTGACTTTTCACAGACACAGGTGCGATGCAAAGACAATGTAGATGATGTTTTGGTACAGAAAATAAAGTCTGTTAACCAGGCCATCTGTTGGTGTACCGCGGTATACTTTTTGGTGTGCCGGATGGTGTGTTCTAGGAGCGATCTGGCTTTCCTGAAAGTCTAAAGAAGGCTTGAAAAAACACACACGAGCTCTGCAGGTGAGTCCGTGCTCCGGTACCTGCTGGAGCTGCATTGTGTTACTGAGGTGGTGGGGGAATTCCTTCTGAAGTCGCCTTAAACTTTTCTCTCTCCCTTTCTTCTTTCTCAAACCCTGAACAACAGACGGATCTGCCCTTGGGGTACCGGGCGCAGCACTTCCGCATTTCCTGAAGCACGGTTTCACACATAGACTCCATGTAGTTGTTCACTGGAAAATAAGAAGGAGACACTAAGTCTGCAGAGGGGAACAGGTTTTGTCCCCAGAGGGGATACATCTAGCTCAGCCCTACAGCTGCTGGGCAGCGTGTTTCTCTGAAAAGCAAGAGCTGCTTACAAGCATTTCATCGCTTTCTCTGCTCTACAAAAATCTCTCGTTAGTTTCAGCTATCTAAAGCCATGCAAAGGCAGCCCTGCTGTTGCGGATGGGAGCATCTTCAGTCCCTGAGTTTTGAACCTATCACATCTCACTACAGGAAGAATGAGGTTTCCTTTATTGCTGCCCTTCAATCCTTACTTTCTTTAGCCTTTTAAGTGCTTTTAAGCTGGATCTTGTCATCTATGGTCTTCAACCCCCTGCTGTGTCACTATAAGGTTCGCAGCTGAGTGTAAATATAAGCATCCAAAGAGGACTTGGTATAAAGAGGGACACGTGCACTTTTCAGCAGTGCAGGGTTTGTAGAAGGAAGGGGTGAGGAGCGTGACTGCCATCCTCCTACTGGTGGCCTGTTGTGGGCAGGCTGCAGCTTTGCAGCGTAACCAGAGCAGGCAGCACGCTAGCAGGAGCGCTTAGCCAGACACCAGCCGCTGAATCCAACTGCACAGAGCCAGTGACACAACCACCTTCCACACAAAGGTCTCACCTCTCGCTCAGGCTGTCCCTTAGGCATATAAATTACTTCATCTCCTCTTACTTTCCTTCCTAGGCTTCTCCTCTTGGACACTGCCAGAGCTGGGACACAGGGTGAAACAAGCTCCTAGCCTGATCTGGGATGACTGGGCTCACATCTTAGTGCATGGAACAGCTACGCCCACCTCTGTACTTTCTCCATATTGTCTTTGTTTCAGGCTCAGAGAGATTTCACTGCACCGGCAGGGTCAGACACTGCAGGACACAGGTGATTTGTCCAGCAGCCTTTCTGCCCTAGCGCTTTGCCAGCTGCCACTGTCGGCTGAGGTGGCAAAGCCCACATTGCTCTGCAGGGTGGCCACCAGGCTCTCGGAGAGAAACCCTGCGGGTACGTGAGCAGACTGCGTCTGTGGCTTGAATTGATAACTACCTGCCTGTCTGCGCAGAAGCGTAGCGCGTGCAGAGCTACCCACTCCGCTTTGGATGAGCTACGCAACCACTACGCAGCTGCACTCACCTCTGCACCCACCACTGATTGTTAAAAGACTAAAAGAAGCAACAGCGACCCAATGCAAGACAAGCATGGCACCCACTGTAGAGCCCGGAAAGCAGCAGGGAATGCCTTCTGGTTAACAAGCAAGTCAGCCCACTCTGATTGCTGGGCTATGAGTTCCCTAACTGGGTTGGTGAGTGACCTGTAACACAAGCACAGAGGTAAACCCTGAGAGAAAAGTTATGGTGATGCTACTGCTTCGTGCAAGCTGGCAGCCAAGGAGGCATGTCAGGCCCTTGGAGAGGAGAGCTAATCTCTTTCTGCCATAACCTGCCGAATGATGAGGGCTCCAAGGCTCTCCTAACTGTTCCTCTGCCTGCGCAGGTTTGTTTCTAAAACTACAGCTACATATAGGCACACCCTGCCATCTGCCAGGGAGCCATTCCTGAAAAGCACAAGGGTTAGTCATACAATGGGAAGCAAAACACAAAAGAGATTTACAGTGGGCATTCAGTCTCACAGAGGAAGCAGACAAGATTTTTAGAACAAGGACCCACTACAAAACCAGTCTTTGAAAAGCCAGCATCTCCCAAAGATCCCGCTTCTGCCCTCCATCCTCTGCATGGTGTATACTGTCTCTGCGTATTTGTCATTTAAGGCTCTGTATATATCCTCTAGCGCATTAATTCTTACAGGGACAAATTGTTTTGCTGTCTGTCAACTCAGCTGCTTCATCTGTGCGACTCAGACAACTCCACAGCAGGATAACAGCTGAATAACAGCTCCAAAATGATAGCTAGAAAAGCAGTGGACAGAGGAGTGCGCATGTAGCAGTCCAAGAGCTGCTTTGCTAACACTTAACTATTCAGATCAAATCCGTACACAAACCTACACAGGTAAAACACTTGGAATAACCTTTGTGAATGTTACAGAAAGACCATTGTCACAGATGGGACCATAACAGGGTCAAACATTAGCTTTTAAGTGCAGTTACTCTGGGGAGAGAAGGCAGCCCTTCATGCAAGAATGCTCCAAATCACGAAGACAGTAAAAAGTAGTATCTAAACAAAATGCTGAGGGCACGTAGAGGGGGTTGTTTGAGCCCTTGCTTTGAGCTGAACACAGCTTCCAAAAAACAATCCTGGGTAAGACAGACCTACCAATAACTGACTACTGCTTTTCCGTACTTTTTCCCAGATGCTTTTCCTCCTATGCTCCTCCCCAGCCACTGGGGTGGTTGTGTTACCTGCAGATTGCAATCACTGTTTGCTGCAGCCTGCAAAGCCATCCCTCTGCTTCCCCAGGAGGACCCGCTCCACCCTCCCCGCTATATTTTAGCTAACCTGCTTGTAGTCTGCAAATAAATTAAAGGCAGAAATGAGTTGCTGTGGAACGGGCCTGGCTGATCTTAGCTGTGGTGTCGCTCACCTCCTACCTCGTCATCCCTGGGCTATAACACCAGGAGTTATCCCCACGAGAAGCTATGGGCTCCACCAGGTGAGTTAGGAAGAACTCTTTCACATATGGGTGAGCTGCCCTGGCACAGAGGAATGTTTTCTCCTATTCATTCCAAAAAGCAAATCCTTTCCCAAGAAGCAATCAACATTTTTTAAAAATACTGTCCCCTGCAAGTAACAAGCCTGCTGTCCCCAACTCAGGCTCCCAAAACACATTATCACACGATCTCCCTCACACCTACAAATATTTAGCTTATACAAAACACTTGTTAAAGGTCTCCAGGGGCAGACCATCTCATACTTTGAGGCCAGATCACATATACCTAACTCATTCCTGACAGACATCTGTCTGTCCTGCTCTTAAAATACCGCTGGAGCTAGAAGCTCTGCAGTCTTCTCATACAATCCACCCACTACCCACTCTGTAAGAGAGCTTATTATAATGTCTAGCTCTCCCCGCCTACAGCTGAGTCCCAAGACAACACATGGGATCTCACTACCAGCACAGAGAACACTCTGAAATAAGCACAACACTACTGTTACAAACGCTCTGTTTTGTACTAATGGTGTCTCGTTACTTAAAATCAAGCACAAGGGAATTCTAGTAAGATCAGACATAATTTGGTTAGCTTTGCAACCAGGTGATGCTAATGTGCTTGCTTTCTGCCTTTTCAAGGTGAAAAGAGAACAGGAATAAGTTAAAGGAATTAAGTCCCACCAAAACTCAAGACACCAAAAAGACAAAATGACACTTGGTACCTTGCAAGCATTTCTGTATTTCACAGGCTTGTTTCTGGCAGGGATCCTTCTGGGACATGTTCAGAGAACTAAAATGATAGGAAAATGTTACTGTAGAAACAATGTGCTTTTCAGCGGGCGGGGGAGGGGGGGAGAGACACAAGACACTGTCTTAAAGCCAAGGCCAATTTCCCTCTCTTGTCACAGACAGTTCAGAAAACATCTATTGCTGCTTGCAGATGCCTGCCAACATACACAAGAATTCTCTGTGTCTGGCTGAAGGATGATAACGTGGACAATGAATACGGGAAGTTTTATGTTGCTAGGCTTGAAGGCCTTTTTCTTTTCTCTGGTTCAAAATGTGCCCTTTTCCACTTGGATGCACAAAGGTTCCAGCAAAGATTCAAATTAATATGGCTGACTAATTTTTAACAGTGCCGTGCCTCTAGACCTTATACTAAACCATGTATTTGCGTAAAGGCCCTCTCTGTGAGCTATACACAACCAAGGATTTGGTGTTAGTCATATAACTGCAGCTGGAGGAGGCATTTAAAAAAAAAACCAACCAAACAAAGCAACTTAGTTGTGTATGTCCCATACAGACAAGAAGGTGGCCTTTTTTTTGTTGTGCCAGGAGAATGTCTTTTGGAAATCCTGCCGCCCCCCCCCCCGCCAAAAAAAACAACCCCAAAATGAAACCCCCAAACCAGACTGCAGGACAGCTCCATCTTGTTCAAATCCCTAGAAAGCGAGATTTCAGACACTCAATTTGACTTTCTGCAGCTGTGACACCTGTAACTGTGATCTTCCCTGAGAGACCAAAAGACAAGCAGCAACTGGTGGTACTGGTAGTTGGATGGGAGACCTCTACAGGAAAGCACCGCTGTTACCGAAAGCAGTGGTGGGACTTCAGCTCCCTCTGAGCCACAGTTCAGCTCCTGCCCCTGCCCAGAACTAGGGAGGTGCTGCCTTTCAAATTTCTGGTAATTCACCAGCCCACAGCACTTTTCAATATCGCTAGGGCGTTACTTCCAGCATCCTGGCCAAACTCCACTTGGGGCAATTACATTCTGCCTACCTAGAACTCCCCCTGATGTTTCACTTGGACACAATACTCCTCTTCACTGCCTGTCCTACACTCTTGTGTGATGTTGCTGTGTGTTGTTTAACTGCTTCCACCTCAGAGGTGGCTGCATTTCAGTGGAGAGAGAATCATTTATTGTACAAAATATACAACGACATCTTCCTAGAGCCACTGCTCCTGAAAGACAAAAATTCATATTAAAGAATGACTGGGAATAAACAGAGCACAGTACAAAGCAGGGGTAATGTCTACACATACCAGATTAATCACCAGGCACGAGTTTAAGCAGCAGTTCTTCAACACCACCAAGCTGTAAGCGACAAGGAAAAGTTCAATACGTCTACAGTTAACTGTGGCTGAGCTAATGGACTTCAACAAAATAACAGTCCTTTGCCGTCCCTCAAGGATCTCAAATGACTTCACAAACAGGCATGACTATGGTCTATTGTTGCCACCATCCTTACCATGAGATGGTGCTCTATCTCCCAAACGCGAGAGTTACTATCCCTGTACTGCTCACCCTGGGACAGCTGCCACATATGAGGCAGCCGGGATGGGGGGAGCTGGCTGGGTCGCAGCGCCTCACCCAGGGGAACCTGAACTCTTTGGATCCGAGCCCTCAGCATACCTTCCTCCTGGGGGAAAGTAACAAAAAGAGCAGGCAGTTACTGGCAATGCAGTAGAGGCACCTGCAATAGCAAAGCTACAATCACTGGGAAGCTCAAAGGACACTTGCCTCTTCCGCAGCCACAAGCCACGTTTTGCGGTGCTCGTCGCAGTAAACACCTACGCGTCGCACCCACAGTCGGACAGGAGGAGCGCCAGCATGCCCTCCTTCTGCCATTCCCTCAGTCACTTCAGGATGCTCCCGTTAGGTGGACGGCATCAACCCGCAGGATGCAGGCATGGTCTCTTTAGCTCTGAATACATTCACGGAGAAAGCTCTCAGACCTGAAAGGCACCTCTGGGTGGCGTCTGACTTATTGTATGTGATGCTATGTGCTGAAATGTCCCTAAAAGTCAGCTCGGGAAACTAAGGTGGTGTCTAAGTGAATGGAAACTTCATGACAAGTTGTACACTGGGACATGCGTGCTGTATGGCGTTTGTAAGGCATTCTGGGGTAAAAGGTGCTATCGGTACAAAGTTAAACCCTGTGAATATTGGCTTTGCTTATTCCACTAGCAGTCCTATTAACAGTCTTTGTGTAAATTAGGGGGGAAAAAAAAGAAAAAGAAAAAAGCGATTTACACAGGAGTTCCGTGGCTAAGGATGGTCTAAAATCCCAAAAGCAAAACTTGTGACAAGAGGTGAAATTAGCTTAACAAGAACGAAGATCAGTCTGGAGACAAAGCATGAAACTCCGTATGCGTGACTCTCATATTTGGAACTTGCAGAGCTGTCATTGTGAAGGGTCCTTCGTCTCATCTCTCAAGAGGACGGCAGCATTGTCCATTCATATACAAGCTTCTCGTGAATAGCTCTTGTGACTTTGCGTAGTTCGGCTTTTAGATGGTTACAGAGAGCCACCGATACCAGCAGAGGCAAAGGAATTTTGGACATTGAGGTGGTTCTTCCTACCAGAATTTTTGTTTAACAGCAAGTTTATCTGTACATGAGTTAGAGCAAGCTGAGCCATTAGCAAATGAAGGTCAGGGGAAATGATTCTCTCTTTGAACCCTAGAAGAGGTAATCAAAATGGTACAGACAGTCTTCATTCTTTATCTAGGTTTAAAGTAGAACAGAATTAAGCTGTAATACATATAACATCCTCCTGCTATGAAGCAGATGCAATATTCCTATCCCAGTGAAACACAGTGGTCTTCAGAGAACTTGTAAAGTTATAAGGCATATTTCAGACAGGAGCAAGAAAGTCAGGGAGAGAAAAAATTATTACACATTGGGGTACATATATAACAGGAAATACATTTCCATGTTGCCTTCTATATCTTACATCAGCGCTTCTCTACCTTTTTGAATCAAAGGATCACTTAGCCTTTTTGAAAACAAAACACCAACCACGGATCAGCCTGAACAGCACTGTCACAGTATTTTAATTTCTAACAAAGAAAACTTTGAATGTTCTTTTATTACTTCTTTTTCTCCCATTCTGTTTGTTTCCTTGCTTGATGTGTGGGAATGTGTATGTGCATTATAAAAAGCATCACTGTTCTGAAGACCATCCTGTGATGTGGTACAGCCATTCCAAGCAATGCCCCAGCAGCTGGATCGCTGGCATTTAGAGGAACGTGACAGCAGACTGACAAGCCTCACAAGGCCTTCAAGGATAAGCTATGAGGGTTAAAGGGACATTTCTGTAAGTCCTGTTCATTCTGCTTTACCCTAAGTCACTTGAAAAATTTAAGCCCATGTGTGGAAATCACTTTGCCCAACAGTGAAATGCAGCAATCGCCACTGCTCATTTTCAGTCAGCTGAATGTAATCACCCAGGTTGGAATTTGGCCAGGATACTCTCCTACTCTGCAGTAAACTGCCAAAAGCTCCATCATGACCAAAAATGCTCAAGAACTTGCTTTTATATCCCATTCAAAGCTGGAATTTCTCCAGCTCATCATCCCCAGAACCAGAAGACTCAAGACTGACTTCAGTATTAGAAAAATATTAGTCGGTACCTAAACGCTATTTCCTACAGCAAATAAACTCTCCTGGAAGGTCTCCTATCCAAATACTAATCTGGTTCAGTCTTGCTGAACTCCAGGTAGGAGGACTAAAGCACAACATGTATGTTTGTGTTTATTGTATATGAACATGGTAGTAATGATAGGTACAGGACCGACAGAACAAGGTCTCATGCAGAGGACACTGTGCAGAATGGGCAGCGGTTAACATGTTCACCCTTTGCCCCACTAATTTGTCCCAAACTTCCTCTGAACTCCGTATCTCTGAGTTCAGGTGCCAAAGTTCAAAGGCACAGTCTGGCCTCTCTTTTCAACAGCCTCTAAGACTGTTATGAAGGTGCCCCGTTAGTGCCACAAATAAAATCTTGAAGTCAGGCAAAACCGTCAATTGGGTTTGAAGTAAGACAGGTCTGTCTTTAGTGCTCAAACATACAAAAGAAAAAGCATGCGCTTAGACATTTGCACCTGAAACTATAAGAAGGGAAAAACATATACAATTCCTATTTTTGCAGATTTTATCAGAAAGCAATAAAAAAGCCTGAAGGAAGACATGGGTGAAAGGAGAAGTAAGCTTACTTATATTTAAAACAAGTTGTAAAACCTGTTTCTTATATTGCTTGCTTTATAATCTATTAAAAAAAAACCCCACCACATCCAACAAAAAATCCAATCATCTTAAATTTTCAGGATTGCAGCGTCACCCTTTGACACAGATTTTAATGTTCCCATCAACATAATTGCAGAGGTCTGAGCTGCTTAAGGTATTGATTTGGGGAGATTTAAAGCCCAATCCCCACAGACAGGAACAAGACTTGCAGGTATTCTGTCCATTCTGTCTATTCAGTATCAGGCATTAGAAGTTTAATGCTGTTCTGGGACCTGGGTGGATTTCTGAGCCATACAATATATGAATAAATGTGAAAATGGCCAGGAGGAGGACTGCATCTTGTGGTGAAGACAATTTATTTGCTTTTAAACTGGGTACATTAAAATATTTACGAAAACAGTGAAAGAAATTGCTCCAGCTGCTGCTCGGACCATCCCCACAGCTGGAGCTTAGCATGCTGCACAAACTCCACCATTTGTTACCTTCTATTTTAAAAGGGGGCTGGGTCAGATTGTTGGAAGAGTTCAGCTGTCATTTAGGAGCCAAGGAAAAGAAAAAACAATGCTGTGGCTCAGTGAACTGGGCACAGTGCTTTGCTAACATGGCTACAGGGCTTCTGCACCAAGGCTGGCCAGTTAGGCCTTCTGGTGGAGAGCGTGCAGCTGCCTGCACACCTCCGTGCGCTCAGCCTTTGGGGAGCTAAAGGGCAGCTGAGCTTTCCTGAAAAACCCAGCCCGTGTCTTGCAACAAGTCAGGGATCAGATGAGCTGTCTGCTGATGTAAGAGCATGTTGACTCACTCTAAAGCTTCTTCTTGGGGGTTTGGACTCTACTCTGCCTGGAGCACTCGCCCCGAGCAAGACTCCATGCTCCGCTCTGCCCAACCTACTGAGGGGTAGCAGATGCTCACCGACCAGCCGGGGCTGTCCAGCAGTTTGGGGAGGGAAGGTCTAGCTTTGGTAGGATCTGAAGAAACAGGAAGACAAAAAAAAAAAAGAGAGAAGAGATGGACATAGTGTGGGGGGAGTCCCGGAGGAGGAAGGGGAGGCCGAGGAGAGGGGTGCGGGGGCCGGGCCTGGTGAAGGGCC